TTTGCACTTTTGCTCTGTTATTGGGGACATCACCAGTTAGCCTGTAGAGGCTCTGCTGGTAGATGTGCACACACGGATGTGAGAGATCTCTTGGCAGCCTCAGACATTCTTCCCTATCCTGAGATCAGCTGGAGGCTGGGCCCCTTCAATTGACCAGGAAGCCCTGTCTTAAACTCCAGCACCCAGTGTCTTGGGAGCCAACACAAGCCCTTGGGTCATGGGATATGCTAATAATTTAGACTCCAAATAGGAATCACACAAGCCAGGCCTTTCTTGATCTGCCCTTAGGTAATGTGCAATAAAGTAGTTCAGTTAGACTGTAAATTCTTTAGAGGGTCCACACAACAGGTTTGGGAGATGGAAACACCCAAGTTTAATAGATTTTGTGCCTCTCTGGATATGTAGATGAAATATTTTCTTGAATGAAACAACCCTTTGGTTTAGGTTGGATAGTTACATTACTGACAGTCTAATTTGGTATTCTTCATCATAAACAAGTGTACAGAGACTGGTTAGGTCAGAACTGGAAGAGCACATGCATATGATTTTAGAGAACATGTTTAAAAATAAGTATAGCAACTCAGAGAAAAGTTGTATTTTCAAATTGTTAGAAATCTGTTTCCTTGTTTTAATATTTATTCCCCGCTTCCCCTCCCCCCCCCCTTTTTTGGGTAGGAGGTTGCAGAAGATTTTAAAATTAAGAGAACGGTTTTTAGAAATACCACAGTCCACATTTGCTTAAGATCTGTACGCATGCTGGATTGTAAACTTCTTTTTTTTTTTTTTTTTAATTTTAACGTTTATTTATTTTTGAGACACAGAGAGACAGAGCATGAACGGGGGAGGGTCAGAGAGAGAGAGAGAGAGGGAGACAGAGTCTGAAACAGGCTCCAGGCTCTGAGCTGTCAGCACAGAGCCCGCCGCGGAGCTCGAACTCACGAACCGCGAGATCATGACCTGAGCTGAAGTCGGACGCGTAACCGACCGAGCCGCCCAGGCGCCCCGGATTGTAAACTTCTTAAGAGAAGGTGCTGTCTGTTGAAATACTGTAATCCTGATGCAGGGTACCTGTGCCAGGTACTGCCGGAATATGCAGTCTAAATATTTGTGTAATGAGTGAATGATTTAATTATGTGGCATGATTTCAAGTGTACACTTTTAGTAGTTCTTGTTCTAGAGAACTTTCCAGATTAAATTAAAATAAGTCTTAACAAGTAAGGGTGAGAAAGTGCCCCAGACTTGTAAGTGTGGAATATATACCTAATTATTATACCACCTGCTGTTTTATCTTTGTTCCATATGTTGCAACTTAATACAGTGAATATATCTATGCATAGTTGTCTTATTCTTGATAGAAGATTTTTTTTGGCCCCGAGTAATTTTAAGTTAGCTATTTACTAACACCCCTGCAGTGTGAAGGTGACTTAAAGGCATCAGTTGTTAGAATTTTTTGTTTTCTGTATTCCACGCATGGTTATTTATTTACCAAAAGAAAGATGCTTGTCAGCTTTGAAATGGTCACAAACCTTAGAGTTTGGAATGGACGAAAGAAATAAGAGGCGAAGAATAGGCATGGGAGGTGGAGACAGCTGGTCTAATGCCACTAATATATTGCCTGTAATATAGTTTCTTTCTTTTAAAGATTTTGTTTTTAAGTAATCTCTACACCCAGTGTGAGGCTTGAACTCACAACCCTGAGATCAAGAGTTGTGTGGTCTACCGACTGAGCCTGCCAGATAACCCTGTAGTACAATTTTTGCAGCATAGTGGAAAAGAAAGCCATGGATCTGGGCAGGTCAGGGTTTGAACGCTAGTGCTTGTATTAATGATCATGATGATAGCTAGTAGATAGGGCTTACCAGATACTAGGTGCTTTCTTAACTGCTTTACATATGTTAGTTAACTCATTTAATCTTCATGACATCACCCCTGAGATATGGGTAATGTTATAATGCGCATTTTATAGGTGATGAGAGTGAAGCACTTGCACAGATTACTCCAGCTAGTTCATAGCAGAGCTGGACTTTAAATCAAGGCACTATATGGTTCCAGAGCTTGTACTACTCTTCCTGGTCTTTCACAGTCTGAGCTGTCCTTTTGTATGATCTCGGAAACGATACTGAACCTTTTTGAACTTCAGCTTCCTTATCTTTGAAATTGAGATAAGAATACCTTCCTTGCAAGGTTGATAGGATTAAGTAAGGCTTCTTATGTAAGGTACTGCTTGAGGTTCCTAGTAATTGCAGACTTTCTTTAAATGGGAGTAATAAGTATTGGGGGTACCTGGTTGGCTCAGTCGATTAAGCGTCTGACTTTGGCTCAGGTCATGATCTTGCAGTTCAAGTGTGCTGTTGGGCTCTGTGCTGACAGCTCAGAGCTTGGAGCCTGCCTCGGATTCTGTGTCTCCCTTTCTGTCTGTCTGTCTGTCTCTCTCTCTCTCAAAAATAATCAATAGGCATTAAAAAAAAATGGTAGTAAGTATTGTTACTGTTACTATTCTCATCAACTATTTTATGCCGTTTCAAAATATTTAAAATATTTAAAATATCAGCTATTTTGAAATAAGCCCTTGAAATAGAATACTACCATCATACAGTTAATGTTACCAACTTGTTAATAACTTTGCTAATTGCAGTGGACAAAAGGACTAAGATGGTCCTTGTTAATTGTGAGTTCATTAATATCTTTCTCCCACCTCTTGGTAGAAGTGGTGTTGGCTGCTACCTTTTGATGAGCCATTTGTACACTCATCCAAATTTTGAGGAAGGAAAATGTAATTGAGGGAGGGAAGTATTAACACATAACAGTATTTAAAAATTTTTCCCTTTAAGTTGAGCCAGGTACTGTTTAGAGAACTCTTGGGAACTCTGATCAAACAAAAGCAGAGCTAGATCCAAATGCACAGGGAGGGCCCTCAGGATGGGGACTAATAACCACCGCAGTGCACTGCCTTGGGGTGAGGGTAGCTTGTCTGTTGTAAATTAGTTGATTGAACAAATCATGAGGCTCTGGGAGCCTCAGTTTCCTTATCTATAAATGAGGACACTAGATTAGATTACTATGCTCTGAAGATCATTTTTAGCTCAGCAACTTCTGATTTTAAATATGTGTCCTCTGTTGGTTGCTACTACATAGAGTTTAAAACATGTGCTTTTGAGGTAAAATTTTATTATTTCAGGGCCATCATTATTTGTTGAACCATTTATATACAAATCCACAATTCGATATCTGAAAATTCTACTAAATTAACCTTATAATTAAACATTAGTATCTTTTACAGTGAACATAGGAGTAATCTCACTCAGGACAATAAAGACTATAAATAGCTTCAGGTCAGTTTAGGCCAAGTTTTGCCACCAAAGGAGTTCAGCTCAGATCAGATTTTGTTGCCAAGTAAGGTACAAAAAGGTCTTCAATTTTTGAGAACTTTCTGGATTTCAGGATTGCGAATAGAAGCTTGTAAATCACTGTTGGGTGTGTATGTGTGTATCTGCATGTGTGTGTGTGGTTTGTGTGTATATGAAATATACCACTTCCTTGTTTCCTTATGGAAACAAGTAAATACCCCAAAATTAACTTTCATGAGGAAGCAGATTCAGATGGAATCTACCTGTAGTGGGTAGTTTTCCCCTGGCCTGCTTGTTCCCTTTGGCTTGTCTGCCTTCCTGCCATTTTGGATTAGTGAGATGTTACTGTTCAGCGAAAAAGAAGGTTGAAAACTGGGTCCAGCCAAAGTCATGCTCAGCTGCTGTGACCAGTTTCTCATCCTGGCTCCATTTCAAGAAAGAAATTAGTTACCATATTTGTATTTGATTAGTTCACTCATTAAACATATATTTTGAGTGTGTTCTTTCTTTGCCAAAGGCAACAAATAGGTGGAGTCAAAGGGACCTGGCCTGACAATTGGAAGACAGCCTCTGGCATGATTCTAGCTCCTGGATAAACTGTGACCTGAGTGCTTTGTTACTTCCCCTGCTTTGTTACTACTTCTAGATGCCTCCTGGGCCGGCAGCAGCCACTCTTATTTGTTATCTCCTGTGGATTTGTTTTGGGGTGAGGAAAGCTTTCATTGTTAAAAATAATGTCTTAAAATATCAAAATTTCTAAGACCCCCGTTTTAGTTTTAATGTTCTATGAATATACATTTATAGAGTGCTTCCCATGAGAAAGCATGAACTATAATGTAACATAGTTGGCACTACAGAGAAAATGCCTTGGCCACATAGAGCCTTTTTAAATCGTCTCTTTCTTTTGTGGGATTTGGGAAAGATACACAGTCCTGCTGTCAAAGCAGGGACCTTTTCTTAGTCCCTCTATATTCTTTGTACCTAGGAAGTGCTTGGTACCCAGTTGGTGCCAACTAAATACTTGATGCTAGATGGATGGATGAATTAATTGGGGTGAGCTTAACAAACGTCCCTTCAAACTCATTTATTTACAATAAAGATAAGATTTCTACCCTGATGTTCAGACTGTCTCTAGCTACCTTTGATTTCTCAGACACAGTTGGTCTGATTGTACTTTGTATGGTGAAAGGTTCTAGAAAAGATACAAAGAATTATAGCTCATCTTTGGCCATCTTTGTCTAGTTGAGGTGAGGCCATGCTATATATATGAGTAACAGTACAAGGAAGTGAGTGATTGAATGCCTGAATAGATACACAGTAATTGCTTAGAAAATCAGAGGAAAGGAAGAAAACCATGGGTTGGAATGTCCTAGAGGAAGGTGAAATTTTTTACAAGGAGGCAAACTTTTTCCTTTTGAACTATTAGTGGTTTAAAATTGCTGCAGGTGTTTGTTAGCAGCACTTCGGACAGAATCTGACTCAGACCTGCCTTAAGAAAAAGGTAGGGGCGCCTGGGTGGCTTAGTCAGTTAAGCATCAGACTTAGGCTCAGGTCATGATCTCACAGTTTGTGAGTTCAAGCCCCACATTGGGCTCTGTGCTGACAGCTTACAGCCTGGAGCCTGCTTCAGATTCTGTGTCCCTCTCTCCCTCACTCTGCCCCTCCCCCTTCATGTGCCCACGTGCGCGCGCTCTCTCTCTCTCTCTCTCTCTCTCTCTCATAAATAAACATTAAAAAAAGACGGGGCGCCTGGGTGGCGCAGTCGGTTAAGCGTCCGACTTCAGCCAGGTCACGATCTCGTGGTCTGTGAGTTCGAGCCCCGCGTCAGGCTCTGGGCTGATGGCTCAGAGCCTGGAGCCTGTTTCCGATTCTGTGTCTCCCTCTCTCTCTGCCCCTCCCCCGTTCATGCTCTGTCTCTGTCCCAAAAATAAATAAACGTTGAAAAAAAAATTTTTTTTTTAAATAAAAAAAGAAAAAAGGTAGTTTTGGGGGCACCTGGCTGGCTCAGTCAGTTAAGCGTCTGGCTCTTGGTTTGTCTCAGGTCATGATCTGCGCTGTGTGCAGACTTCTTGGGATTCTCTGTCTCCCTCCCTCTCTCTGCCCATCCCCCCTCACAGAGAGGTTGGGTTGGATAGAAGTGCTCACATGATGTCATCAGGAATCTCATTTATGTCCCTGTTCTCCAGCTTTGTTGGTTTAGTTCTCAGGCTAGTGCTGCCCATATGGGAGGAGATTGCTGCCAGCAACTCCAGCTTCTAGTCTGCTAGTTGAGTAACCCTAGCAAAAAGAGGGTTTCATTCTCATTAGTGCCAGCTAGGTCCAGGGTGGCCTGCCCAGCCACAGAATGAGTGCCCTTGCTATGCCGTTGTTAACCATCTGAATCACCCCCAGAGTGAGGGTTGTGGGTGGCATAGTCAGCCTTAAATGAACCACGTGAACTGAGGGGCTTCCCCAGAGGGAAATCATGAGGTTGTTATCAAGAGAAGGGCCGGAGCAACAGATGGCCTAGACACTGCCTCGAGCCAAAACCTATTTCCTTTCCTGGGCATTTAATGTTGACCTTGTGACTATGATAGCTCTTAGCCGTTTACCGTCTTCTAAAAGATGTAAAAGTTGTTTCCCTTTTTTAAAAAGATTTGATTTTTTGGGGGCACCTGGGTGGCTCAGTCAGTTGAGCGTCCAACTTCGGCTCAGGTCATGATCTCATGGTCTGTGAGTTCAAGCCCCGTGTCGGGCTCTGTGCTGATGGCTTGGAGCCTGGAGCCCGCTTCGGATTCTGTGTGTCCCTCTCTCTCTGACCCTCCCCCGCTCATGCTCTGTCTCTCTCTCTCTGTCAAAAATAAATAAAAAATAAAAAGATTCGATTTTTTTTAAAGGTAATCTCTAACTCAACGTGTGGCTTGAACTCACAACTGCGAGATGGGTGTGTAGCAGTTGTCATGTTGAATGAGCACAACTGATGTGTAGCAAGTATCTTCATTTTTGTCTCCTGCTGGCACTTTATATTAACTTGTGGGGTTGGTTCTGCCTCTGCTTCTGGGCGAAAACTTGGGTGGGCCTAAGCCTTCTCTTGTCACTCTAGGTAACCAAAAGTCTTGTGGTCACTTCAGGTTATAAAACATCATGTCATTTCAGCAACTTTGAGCCTGCTGAATTCATAGCCTCTTACCTCCCCGCCTCTGGCAGCTTTGTCTCCCTTTGACAGAAAGCTCTAGGCAGAAAGCCTGCAATTGAGGAAGGAAGATGAGGCACAGTGGGATGCTTTTCTCTTTCCTCATCTTGTGCTTCTCTTTCTCCATAGCCTGTTTCTGGCCCCTCTTAGGGGTCAGCACCCTAAGAGGTTGGAGCACCTAGAAGAAGGAAAGGAAGTGAGGGCAGGAAAGTCCTTCCAAAACAGGTGCCAGAGCTCTGGAATTTCCAGGTGTCAAAGCTTGTTCCCTCTTGAGTGTTTTCAATGCACTCCTTCAGAGACCACACCCTCAGAGCCATGACTGGCTTTAACTCTGATGAGAGCAAATGCGTCTTCATTTAGGCTGGTTGCTTATGCCTTCCTTGGTTCTTAGGAGTCTGATGCCATCGTAAGCCTCTCATCTCAGTCTCTGTCCTTTTCTTTTTGGGGCTCTGGACCTGATCTAAGTTGACCCACTGCAGGTATTCTCTCTTTTTTTTTTTTTTTAATTTTTTAAAATGTTTATTTATTTTTGAGAGAAAGGGTAGATAGAACGTGAGTGGGTGAGGGGCAGAGAGAGGGAAACACAGAATCTGAAGCAGGCTTCAGGCTCCAAGCTTCCAGCAGAGAGCCCGATGCGGGGCTCGAACCACGAACTGTGAGATCATGACCTGAGCTGAAGTCAGACGCTTAACTGACTGAGCCACCCAGGAGCCCCTCTGCAGGTATTCTCTTGTGCATGGCACTCATCTGGTGCATGGAGACCCACATACTTTGCTTTGTAGGGGAGGAATTTATCTTTTTCCTCTGCTCTTCTAAAGTTCTTGGCTAGGGCCCCTGTAACTAAAGACAGATTGATAACAGAAAAGCATACAGGTTTGTTTAATATAAGTATTACATGTTGTGGGGACCTTCATAAGGAAATAAAGACCCAAAGAAGCAGTGAAAGCTTAGTATTTTTATTGCAGGTTTGATGAAGAGTGGAGAGTTTGGGGAAAATGTGATAGGAGAGAAATGAGTATGAGCTAAGTGTAGTAGGCTGGGGAAACACGAGGCCTGTTTGTTCAGGTTCCTTTTGGCATCACTTGTTCTTCCGAGATAAGGATGCTCCTTTCCTCCAGGTGTAGGTAAGGCGTTTCTCACAGAGGGTCTGATGACCTGCTTCAGGGGAAGGTCGGAAAACCCTTCCTGCACCTGCTGCTTCTCAGATCCCTTCAGCTTGAAATATTCAATAAGCCGATGTGCCATATTTGGGGGTAGCATATCCTGAACCCTGTCAGCTCGAAGTGAGGGAGGGTGGGCTGGCTCCAGCATAGCAGCAACTTCTTCCTTGCCCTTAGTGCAGGTAGCCGGCCAGCCCTTCTATTTCTCAGGTGTGAGTTGGATGTGGCATCCTCCCAATCGCAGGGATCTGTAATGGGCTATCTTGGTAGTCTCACTGAGCCCTTTTCCTGCTTGAGGTGAATGGAAAGATTTTCCACCTGTCCTCTTTAGATAAGGTGGAACGGATGTGCAGAATGCCAGCAGCTTCCTAACCTGTACCCTTCTACCACAATTTGGATAAGTTTTCAACCATCTCCTCCAGGAACTGCCTCTTGTTTCAACTCTTCATTTTGGAACGAGGTATCTGGTCTTTTGGTGCCTCAGAAGAAACTTAGATTTTTCTCAACTTACAATTGATTGAAAACTCAATCAAGTTTGCCCTGGAGATGAAACCTATTTGCCATTTCTGTACTCAGCATCCTCAGCACAAAGACATTGCCTTTCTTATCTTGCAGTCCCTGTGCCCCAGCAGAACACCAGAATCATTCATTCATTCAGTCAGTAAATTCTTTGTTTGAGCACAATGCCGGGCCCCTGGGCATGGAGAGTGAACAGAGCAGACAGATTCCAGCAGAGGACCAGTTTATATTCTGGTTGTACAGTCAGACATTAAATGCTTCTTAATGACAGTTGTGAGAAAGGCTATAAGCAGGAGAGGGGGTTGTGGGAGAGACCAGCAGTGTCTAGTCTGGTTCCTGGGTCAGGAGAGGCTTTCTCGATGCAATTTGAGCTCAACTTTGAAGGGTCAAAATTGCTGAGGCAGAGGACAGAGGTGGGCAGGTCTGTTCTAGGCCATCGGTTCTTAGCCAGGGACGATTTTGCCCCCAGAGGCATTTGGCAATGTCTGGAAACATTTTAGGTTGTCACAGATGGGGTGTAGAGTGGGGTTGGTGCTACTGGCATTCAGTGGGTGGAGGCCAGAGATTCTGTTAAACATCCTACAGTGCACAGGCCAGCCCCCACCACAAAGATTATCCAGCCCCAAGTATCAGTAGTGCTCAGGCCCTGGAAACAATGTGAAGGGCTTGAAGTTGGGGTACATTTGAGAAGGTGAATTGAGGCATAAGTAGCTGGAGGGTAGAGAGCAAGAGAAAGCGAGGATCTGGGGGACACTGGTACAGTTGGTGTCACCCTCTTCCCAACACTTGGGAAGATTAGGTGTTCAGGATTTGGGTGTTCTGAGAACAGTCAGATGCCATTCAAGGTTATTATGT